ACCTGTTTCATGTAAATACAGGTCAAAAAAGGTCAAAAAAGGTATTAAAGAAAGAAAAAAAAAAGATAAAAGAAAAAGAAAAGATGGAAATAAAGCGTATGATGAAATGATGCAAGTTTATCATAGTCAGTATACATGATTGCTATTTTACTTTGTAGTAATTACTTATAATTGTTTTCCTTTTGCAACAGCCTTAGTGCGACCAGTCATAGTTTGAGTTAAGTTTACAGATCATATTTCAGAAAATGAATACATTCCCGTTTGAATGTCTTCCAGGTATCATTTTTAGTCGTAGGCATGTTTTGAAAAAAGGTATTCAAAGGGCTAAAAAAAAAAAATCACAGAGATTGTGGGCTAACAAATTTAGCTGTGGGCACCTAAATTTGAAACTTTAGGAGCCCACATAGCTATTGGAAATTTTAGTTAAGTTTAAACCCTGCAGTATATTAAGTTCGATAGTAAACTCTTGATTTGTTTCTTTGAAACTGAGCTAAACGCAAATTTGAGAAAAGTAAGGTCAAGGTCAAATGAAAGGCAAGGTAAAAATGTTGAGGCAGTCGAATAGCTCTCATCAATATGTATCAGTATAAGAAGTTTGATAAAAATATCTTCAATAGTGACTTTGAAAATAAGCTAAAACACAAATGTAAGAGAAGTGAGGACAAAGTCAAAGGAAAGGTCAATGTCAAAAAATGTCGAGCTTTCATCAAAGAGATATGGAGATAACAAACAGTATTCAAGCTCACAGTCCATTTAAACAATACCAATTTGGAGTAGAGCAAACATGGACTTCCAAAAACATCAGAGGCGGGATCAGGTGCCATGGAGGAGTAGGCATCCCCTGTCGACCGTCACACCCGCCGTGTGCTCCTATGATCGGGAAAAAGCGGAAAAATCCGTAGAAGTTGCAGTGTGTAAATAATGGCCTAACAATTAGTACGAAAAACGTCAGTCAGCATTTGAACTAATGATAAGTTGTATTTGCTGATAAGGTCAATGTATCGACCATAGAAATTGCGAAATGATGACTTCAAACGAGACTGTTGATATCCTTGTTTTCACTAGTTGATTAATAACTTGCCCCGTTTTCAAAATTGATCGTAGGACATGCTCTTGCGTATCGAATCAACTGGGAAACATAAGCCCCATATGCAGGTGATATGGGTATATTGCTACATAAATAAGGGAAGTTGACGATACTTTAAGTCTGATAAACCACTGATAAAGTTTTATGATAAACGTGATGACTTTAACTTTTCAATCGTCAACTTCCCTTACTTATGCAGCAAGATACACTTATCACCTGCATATGGGGTGTATATCTCTCAGTTGATTCAATACGCAAGAGCATGCTCTACGTATGAACAATTTCTAAAACGAGGTAAGTTATTGACAAACAAGTTAATGAAACAAGAATATCAAAAGTCTCGTTTGAAGTCATCATTTCGTAAGTTCTATGGTCGATACAATAACCTTGTCAGCAAATACAATCTATTATCAAGTCATATGCTGACTGACGTTTTTCATACTAATTGTTAAGCCATTATTTACACACTGAATTGTCGACGGATTTTTCCATTATTTCCCGATCATGACAAGGAGCACACGGCGGGTATGACCGGTCGGCAGGGGATGCTCACTCTTCCATGGCACCTGATCCCACCTCTGATGTTTTTGGAGGTCCGTGTTTGCTCAGCTCCCAATTTGTATTGTTTTAATGGACTTTGGGCTTGGATACTGTTCGTTATCTCCATATTTCATTCACATTGCTACACTGGGCTTGAATGATTCCCAACAATATCGACTTTGTCATTGTTACTATATGGAAAGGCCGTGCCTAGTTTTCTAATCCGGTATTCTTCTCGTTGTCTACGGAAATGTATATTTAGTGATGGTCTATTAGTATGATAGTAAATCTTTTCTAGAATTATAACTTTCATTGACAAATTAGAATGATCAGGTAAATTACAATGCTTGTATAGAAACTGCTTTATTAAGTGAACCCTTGGTTTCACCAACATAAGTAAGCCCACAAAGGGTACATTCTATTCCGTAGACAACATTAGAAGATTTGCAGTTCAGATTTTCACGAGTTTTTTGGTATTGAAGCTCTTTCCAGTAAGATTAGAACAGGAATCTTCAAATATATCTCAAACAGAAAGATTACATTCCTTCAATTTTTTGTGTATGTATGAACTGTTGGTTTTATACCAAAACTGGGAATCTGAAGATTGTACATATGACATTTGTACCAGCAATATGTATCAGCAAATGAGGTTTCATAAAAATATTCTTGAAAGGTTCTTTGAAACTGAGCTAAACGCAAAGTGTGACAGACAGAAGGACGGAAGACGGACATGACAACACTATATGCCTTAAGTCCCTTTCGAGAATTTTTAACTCATATTGAGACGCCACCACTTGTCGGTAGAGGACTGCAAATTTTGGACCTATATTCGGCACTCAGGGCCATTGAGCAGTGAGGGATCTTTTTCGTGGCATCACCAACTGCGACACGTGACCTCGGTTTATACGGTCTCATGCGAAGGACAGCTCTCCACATACTGCAGTGGGATTCGAACCTGCGACGTAAGGGTCAACTCCTTACTCCGCGACTCTATAGCAATATACGACTCTATTATATACTATGTATAATTTGTTCCTCACAAGGAAAGAAAGAACAAAGGATAATCGGATATTTTTTATGCATGTCGAAGTCTCCTTTGATAGTCCGATTGCAGTAGCTGTATACTTCGTTAGTGTATAAAATGATCAAATTATCATTAAATATATATATATATACGCACAATAAACAAATCAAATAAGCAATGAATGTAGGTCTTATATTTATACAATTTATTTTCAAGTGATTTTTCTTCCAACTGAAAAAGATTTAAAGATACGATATACCAGAAGGAAACTATCAAATTTTTGGAAAAATCCAATAATTTATTAATTGTTGGATGCCTAATAAATAAAATATTGGGTAGGATGAATAGGTAAGTGATTGTTCGAATGAATTAGATATTTGTTGAGACTAATTTGTCATTCATTCAGACATATTTTATCTAACTTTTTAGAGCAAGTATCCAGTATCCAATTCGTCCAAACGGAGATTTTATTTGTTCCAACAAATATGTAATTCATCGGAAACGAATAAATCATACCTTAGGTGGCCCATTAATGGTGCCGTAGAATTTTGATTATTTAAATAAAAAATTTCTCCGTATTGAAATAAATTTTGGAAAAAAAAAAAAAAAAAAAAAGGTAATTAAAGATTACGCAGCTCACCTCGACGAAAGTTATCTATATGTAAGTAAGGCAAATCTCACACCAATTTGTTTCTAGTTAGTGTGCATGTGAAAGTTTGGTTTAAGTAGGACTTATAGTTACTTGGGAATGGACATGCTTCAAAAACTTTATCCTGCACACTCATCCAGGAAGTGTAGGTCAGTTCCAGCATCCGAGCAAAATTGGTAGTGTCCATCCCCGGATGAATCATACATGCAAGTCATTTTCTTCCAACTGAAAAAGATTTAATCTGATTTAATCATAACTGGCCATAATATAGTTATAGAGCTACTCCAAAGAGAATACCCTAATCATTCATCTGGAAATTGTGGGTCAGATCCAGCTTCCGAAGCAAGTCTGGTAGTGTCCATTCCTAGATATATCATCCATGTAAGTTTGTCCAGGTACTTGGGAATGGACATGTTCCTAAAACTTTAACAGGGACGCCGACGCCGGCGGTATAGCATATACTCATCTAAACTCGGTGAGCTAAACAGATTAAGCACAATTTATATCAGAAAAAAAGTATGAAAAGAAGACTATCATGGTGTCTGTATTCAAGAAATTGTGTTCGCAAACATCTTCATGTACGTTTCTTTTTTCACAAAAACTAAATTGATTACAGAATGCATGGTCGTAGGAACGGGGGGGGGGCGTGCACCTCCCAAATAATTTTAATAATATAGAGTACATAGCTACTATATGCTTGTGCGAGTGCCCCTTCAATAATAACGTCATGACTTTTTGAATTTTTGGTAGTGCCCCCCCCCCCCCTGAAAATGTTTGGTTGTGCCCCTCCAAACTGACATTGCTTCTTACGGGCCTGGATTGCTAATAAATCTCCGAAAAGGAAATGTCCAAGTGAAAGTATCGGGCATAAACTTTGAATAATGTGTTACATGTGCATATAATGATTTACATTGTAATGCATTCCGCATATGTAATGTATACGTATATAGAAAGTACATGTGTTACCTTCCATATTAATAACACTGCATATTTTTAGTCAGCTAATCAGTCAGTTTAAAGATATTAGTATGTAACATATATCTAATTAATATACAATTATTAAAGATTAAAGTAATACAACAAATCAGATTGCATAATTAAATTTAATATGGCATGAAATCAGCATTCAAAACTAGATGTATCGTAACACGATATAAATAACATTTATATAGCAAATATCATGCTTATATTTTTTACATAGTACTTGTAACGGAACGACAAATTTACTAAAGCCAATACATACATTTAAGTAATATAAGCCTGTATCATTTTTTTTATATTATTTATTTTTAAGAGATTGATAAAATAAAATTTCAATAATGGGAACAAGGTTTTAGACACTGAAGACAGAGGTGTTAGCTGTTTTAATATGACTTTGTTTGATTTCCTTTATACCGAGGGAATAATATAGGGGAAGTAGCAAATAAAAATGCTAATTTTTTTTTTCTTCAAAATTATTATTTCTTTTAAATCAATTTTTATCCTTTATAAATTAATCATCTTTGTTAACAATATAGAGTAAATCCCTACTCAAGGCAATGTACGTCATGAATAAACAAAATATGAACAATACCTATTTGGACTTTAATTTTTTTTTATATTGAATGAACAGTGTTGCCATAGTTATGAATGAAAAAACGGGAGGGGGGGGGGGGGGAGGGGGGTCATCTGATGATCAAAATGTTGTTCCTTTTACAGGACTTCCGGGTTTGTCCTAGTTTGCGAAATAGGTTCAATAATTAGTGTGCTTTTATTTACTTCCTAGTATCACGAGATTAAAAGCATGAGCTTGAAAGGTAGATATTTTTCTTATTTTCAAAGGATCTTTGATGTTTTTTGAAATTCAGTAAATGCTAATTGTATTTAAAGTAACATAAAAATTTGCATTTTACTCACATCAGAGACATAATATGATAATGTCGATTGAATGTTATTAAACGTATCCTCGATACATGTGCATGGAACAGAAGAATGCAATAAGCTTTTTAGCTCTATTGGACAGAGACCATAAAGCTTATGCGAAAGTAAAATGTCCATCGTCCCTCGGTCTAGCTGTCTGTCTGTCTGTCCGTTGTAAACAATTTTTTGAAACGCTGCTCCTCCTAGAGTTTTGGTTTGCTTTCAATATATATTGGCAGAAAGATAGACTACACTAAAATACATAATTCTGTTTATCCATTTTTGATTTCTATGAACGGTGTTGCCATGGTTACTAAAAATAGAAATTTCTGTGAAATACAGTTGAGCTTCATGCAGTATCTTGAACACTGATATCTGGAATACCATGGATATGTTGAAGTGATTTGGAAGTCTCAACTACTTATTCTTAAAGTATTGTACCCTCAATATCTCGAATCCTCAGATATCTCGAAGTTTTTTCTTGGTTCCATCAAGTTCAAGATAATGAGGTTTCACTGTACTTTCAAAATGCTTAGCTCCTCCTACAGTTTGGGCTGATTTAAGTTTTGCCATGTTACTATAAATAGAAATTTCTGTGAAATTATTTCAAAAGGCTACTTCTTCTTAGTTTTAGTTTGATACAATAAAATATTGCCAACTTGGCAAGACTTTAAACCAAGGATCATTATTTTATTTATTGCTGTTGCATAGTTTCAAGCCCAAGACTATCTTTCTCTTTCTTTGTTAAAAGTACAAACTGGCAGAGCTATAATAAATTTTTTTCTTTGTTTTGTTTTTTGTTGTTGTTTTATGTTTATTTATTTGTTCATTTGTTTGCATGTTTTTTTTGTTTTTTGTTTTTTTTTTCATGTATTCATTTGAAGGGAAAGGTTTATCATTATCGATATGTGTACATGGAAGTTTCTTTTTGTAGATCCTGGAACTCCACAGAATGGCTACTCGTCCTCCTGGTATTACAACAGTCATGGGAAATCTGCATGGGAACATCAGGTTGAGATTGCTACAGATGCTAGATTGAACTTAGACACTCAAATTACAGGTACTGGCATTTCTGGGAGCAAGTCAAGGTTTAATACATATACACATGTAACTTTAAAAAGGGTGATTACAGTGTAACAGGAAATGACAAAATGTATGGCTGAACTGGGAATCAAACCTGGGACCCCTGCATTACAAGTCAGGTGCTCTACCAACTCAGCTACCCAGGCAGATATCCCTTGCCCAAACCATTACATTCCTCCTTCTTAAATATGTCTTCACACTCGAATACACAACCCAAGTTCTTATTTGCCCTTGGCAGGACTTTTACCGCAAGTCCAGGGGTGGTCAATGGCTCCAGATCTGTAAAAAAGAAAGGAGAAAATGTATGGCTGGACAAGGAATCAAACCCTGGACCCCTGCATCAATAGTGAGGTGCTCTAGTTACCAATTGAGCTACCCAGGCCAATATTCATGGCCCAAACCATTACAGTAGAACCTAAATGTCTATTACACATAAAAAAAATCATTTTCATTTTCTGCAATCAGTATTTCAAATTATGTTTATCAAACTTGGTGTTTTTCATGATGATGACCACAAATCACAGCCAAATAAAGGCAGTTTCTCCCAGAAAATATGGCCATTTTTTTAATTGTGTATAAGATTTCAATGTAAAAATTCTATTAAATAATGGACCAAAAAAGGCTCATTTTAAAATATGGTAAAACACTACTATGTATACTTATTTTTTATTGATTGCAAATAAATCATTGTCTGATTTTGTACATATATATGAATATAAATCATATACTTTGTTGTCAGTTCATTTTTTCTGATCAATTGATTTGTAATCCCTTGTTGAAGATTAAGCTACATGATTTATTCATATGAACATGTGTGGTGAAGGGGTGGAACAAAATTCTGATGCTTTATTGCAGCCCGGAGGACCGGGCTGCTCTATACATATAAGTTTAAGTGTTGGTATATGGGGATTGAGGTGGGAGAAGTTATTCAGAATTAAAGGTTTTCTAACCATTAAAAAGATTGTTAATCAGAATGTTCTTTCCCTTTATAAATTACGAGATACACAATATATTTACTTCCATAAAGTGAATCTGTAAAAATATATATGTTTTTCATATTTAATATATAAAGTTGCTTATCATTTACTATCGAAAAAACGACAGGTCCCTTTTTTTAGAACATCGAATTTTACTTATCGCATATAAACGTAAAAACGTACTTAAAACAGTTCGTGTTTTATATTCTTAAAGTGAAAGACATTTTTGAAAATAGGTGATGCATGTGTCTGGTTTCAATTTATATTTTATGCAGCCAACATTTACTTGAGGAATTGATAAAGTTTAAAAGGGTATCGTTTTTGTTCGATTTTCATCCGACTATAAGTTTTCAAAATATTCTCGACTATCATCTCCATCATTTAGACGCATGCCTTTTTCACACATATCGAAGCGGTTTGATGATCAAGACTCATTTCCATTGTTTACTTTATTTCCCGGGCGACAATTGATGGTTACATCAATGTTTTCTTGTTGTATCAATGATACAAGATTCTACAATGTGTATAACAATATTTCCTTTCCATTGTTAGACATAATATTATATATGACTTAGATTATAATTTTGTAAAGTACATGTACATTGAATTTATAAAGCTTTTAGATCAATTTTATCTGTAACATTACTTAGCTTCACATAATTACAAATTAATGAAGGATTCATCATAGACATAAATGTATATGTATTAATTTCTTTTTATTTTATTGAAATTACCAAATTCAGCTAAGAATGCAAAATTAACATTTTTCTTTGCATATATAGCCTTAAAAATTGTATTGATAATTCCATAATGTCAAATGTGACACACATGTTTATAATGGTACTGTACCTATGGAAACCCAAATCATCCCAGCACTAGTATGTGAACAATCTTTTACCATATTAGAAAGGTCTTATTTATCTTTGATCAGAATTTCAAGTTACTGATGCAGTACATGTATCATAATTTCATGATGACTTTGTTCTTGTAATCTTTGTGCGTAATACAGTGAAATCATTTACTGTCTTTTCCAGAAATCACCAAATCTCATTGGATTCCTACAGAGACGTGTCCCAGCTGCTGCAATCGACAGTGCAAAAGAAAATTTTCTCTCCTGGATCGCCCGCATCATTGTCGAAGGTGTCCTGTTTTTGTCAGCTTTTGACTGAGATTTAATTCTTTCTTGTTAGGCTGGCTGAAATTAATTCTACGTTAAACATCACCTAAAAACTTCAAAACCTTTGAGAGAGGGAGGAAAAAAATACATAAAACAAAAATTTCAAACAAATGAGTATGTACTCTTTTACTGTACATGAATCAAAATATTTTAAATATTTGTGCATCATGAAGGCTTATTGTTAGTGATAATTTTTAGTAAATCTGTCAGCTTAAATGATACTCATCTCAAATACATGTGTATATTTCATACAGGGCCTAAATGTTGTCTTTTTCTATGGAATGCAGTTTTTATTATTAGTACCTAAAAGTAAAAGGAAACCTGAACTTTTATAAAATACTGATTTGTTTTTTTTTTAAAGTACTCTTCAAAACCTACGTGCCCTGGTGTTGGTAAACGTATAACTAACTTTTGACAGCTTTATGGAGAGTCTTCCTGAATAATTTCCTTAATATCTACTTACAAGATTTTTGGAGGGAATTCAAACTTTGGCTAAGTGAAGTAAACATACTGTATGGAGGAATAAAAATTTAAAACTGAACACCGGGTTTAGGGTTTTATTTTCAACAGCTTCTGTTATTTTCATATCTTATCTAATTTTACTTCTTTAAATCAGAAATTGTAGAAAAATAAAATTGGATATTATTGATTTGTCTGACACAGATGTGGAAAGATATTCTGTAGTCCTTGTCTTCAGTTCCAAAGGAAATTGAATCTCCTTGCCAATCCGGATCCTGAAGGAAAAGCTTACAAGGTACAAAGGCAAAATAACATATGATTTACAAAATGTCATGTTAACTGTAATTGTAAGGCAGTTTGAGATGTTTTTCAGTTTGTCTTTTCCCCATAATTTGATGCAGGTACACTAAGTATTTTTTTCAGGCAGTTCAATAGATAGCTTTTGATAGACATGAATTAAGCAAGAGTTATTTCCTGTTTGTTGTTATTTTGGAGGTCAACATGCATGCTCAGATTCCTTCATCATTTAACCAGTTTCAGTTTTTATTAAAATAAAACATTGTTTTTCTGAGAATATACATTTCTTTAAGCCAAACCATTAATTCCTACTTTTTTATTAGATTTTTACACACTAGTTTAAATTGATCTAAGTGCACCAGGCTGACCTCCAAGATGGCAGACAAGGGGAATAACTCAGAAAAAGACACATGCAACTATCTATTGTATGATAATCATGCTAATCTACTAATGTAGTCCAGCTTGCTTTAATCTATAAATTCTCTTTTACGTGCCTACCATTGAAAAATGGTGATATATATTTTTTCCATGTCTTGGGTACAGTAGGTAAAAGTTTGCTAGTTCTAGCCTATAAAATAAATCATCATTTTTGACTCAGATGAGCTCTGTAGCCCATGAGCCTCTTCTTGTTTTTTGACAGGTATGTCAGACATGTTTTGAGGAGGGCCAGGTACAGGAAGGTCAGCATAGGAGACTGACTGAGTATTTTTACAGACTGCGTCAACAAGGGGTACTAACAGCCTCGATGATAGAGAACGGCAAAGTCACAAAGTGCTGGAGACAAAGGTAAAGGATTGATAACTAATTTCCTCAGTTTCTCAGTCAGCTTGTGAGATTTTCCCTTGAAAATTATTATGGGAAAATTAAGAATATGAAAACTAGAATGAGATTATATGTGTGATTGTGTGTACATATACAACCAAACATACATTTTGAAGCAATCTAATTAAAATCAGATGTTCTGAATCCCCTGCCACTTCTTGAACATATTTGAAAAGCGGCAGCTGATTCAGAACATCTAATTTTTATCAGATTGATGATCCATAAAGGGTAAACTGCAATGGTATTAGAAAAGAAGTCAATCTCTCTGTATTATAGGGACTTTTCAGAAAACAAAAAGATAATTGAAATGAAATAAGATACTTTAATTCAATCAAGTTGATTATCATTGGTGGAAACGCAATAAGGATTATATTGTGTTTTGTATTTCACTGTGGGATTTCAGCAGTGATTATACATTCATTAAATGTATACAATAGTAGGGATGGGTATCAGCAAAAATTTCGTATGTTTTTCCAAAAATATCACGATAAATCGTGATATTTTTACACAATTTTTACTACAATTTCAAATATATTTCCATAATATTTTTTTGAAATATGCTATAAAAACATAACTTTACTTTTTAAATTTTTTATTTATTTAATATAAAGCATGTTTGGATGCTGATATTTAATTGTTTTCAACATTTTTTTTTACATTTCCTGTAATTGTCATCCAATAGTTTAAACAAATAAATAATTAATTTCCAGAATTTATAGTTTTGTACTAAATATCGGTATTTTAGTCTCCGTATCATGATACGTATCACGCAATAAAAAATCGCAATAAACCGGTATACCGATAAAATCTCACATCCCTATACAATAGACATGCATTTGTTTTATTCTATATATGATCACCAGCTGACTTGCATTTAAGCATTTGCTTAGGTTTTGCATTTGTTATAAAACAGGTTTTGGTTAAATATACATGTATTGATTCCAGTGCATTTCTTAACATTTCAGACTTGACTTAAATGCAGAGTGTAAACGACTGACAGAGGGTTTTAAGACAGCCATTGGAGGATCAGAAATAAAAAAAACCATCCATGACCTGAAAACTTTGGTCACCATACCTAACTGGCAGAAATCTTCAGCATGGCTGGTACGTAGCAGTCATGTCTGTTATTTAAATCTGCATGATGTGACTTTGACATTTAAGCACAAGTCCACGTGTAGTCATCTTCATATGATGTTTGCTTAGATCTGTTATTGCCATCATCATATTTAATTTAAAATTGTAGATATAATTACAATGTATGCTTTTGAGAAAAATAAATAAATAAATATTTATTTTTGGTATTTCTTAAATGGTTGCAACAAAAATATTACAGCCTCTAGATCCTGAAGTAGATACAAGATAAGTATTAAATATAGAATCTACAATGGTTTGTGGTTGCAGGATATGATTTTTATCCAGCAAGTTTGTTTTCTTTCCCTGAGCCTTTATGAGGGGATGGAAAACACAATGAGGTGGATAAAAACCATATCCAATCACACGTTATACCTATAGCTATCACATGTTGTTTTATGAATCCACTTTATTTGACTTCAACAAATTCATGAATGGTGTCACAGGTTTGGATGTGAAAACCATATCGTACATGACTGATATCAACTCTATAAAGAAACAAACATACAATAAAGTTGAAGTTCAAAGCAATATTTAAACCTATATATTGCTATGTTGATAAGCTGTAGATTTGGTCCTAACTTTATTTGACAGCAAGAGAACTTGGCTGAGTCTTGTCAGATCTGTGTTTATGAGCTATAGATAAGACTCAAACTTTATTTGACAGCAAGAGAACTTGGCTGAGTCTTGTCAGATCTGTGTTTATGAGCTATAGATAAGACTCAACTTTATTTGACAGCAAGAGAACTTGGCTGAGTCTTGTCAGATCTGTGCTGCTAAGTTTGGACTTACGAGGAAGAAACAGAATTGTAGAGTGTGTGGTAGAGCCATTTGTAAGGCTTGCTCCACTAAAGACCTACTGTTGTTTATTCCCAATGAAAACAAAGAGGCTGAACCACAACTAGCCATCATTCGACTTATTGGAGTAAGTTATAAATAATTAATATACATTTTAATTCTGTTAAAGAATGTTTCTAATCTAGTACATGTACATTCATTTTTGAACTTTGACTTCATCATTGTTGCATTTATTGTCAGGGCTGGTGCCTCTATGACGATTGTTTCTTTCTGTAATGGGAAATAGAGATGGCAGTTAAACAATTCTTTGATCTTTTTTAACATTTGTAAATCATTCTAACCAAATAGATTAATATTTGTTTCCTTGTAGTGTCCTGAAAAGGAGCCAGACATAGCTTTGTACTTGAGAGTTTGTAAACTCTGCCAGGAGAAAATTTCAACCAAACAAATTTTAGAAAACAATGTTACAGATGATGAAGCTCAAGAAGGGGCAGATAACCTTGTCAAGCTGGAAAACCTCCACAACAAAAGTGTCAAATTAGAACAGAAGACAGACAGGCAGCTGACACAAGTAACTCAAATTAATTTAAAATCAATTAGTTTCGTGGGGTCAATTTTCATGCATTGAGGAAAAAAATTATGGTTAATGGGGGAGTTAATTCTGTGGTTGGAAGACAAACATGATACTTTAGCTAGAAATTTTAACATTTCATGGAGGATGTAAATTCATAGGTTTCTTCATATAATGAAAGCAACAAAAATTAGACTCCCAGGAAAATATGTAATTTCACAATAGTTAATTTTGTACATCCATCATCATTGTCATCTTCATAATCAACTTCATCATCATTGTCATCTTCATAATCAACTTCATCACTGTCATCTTCATAATCAACTTCATCAACATTGTAATCATGCACCTCTTCTTCCTGCTCCACCACAAAAGGTAGCCATGGATCATTTAATCTCTCTTTACATGATGGGTAGTTTCTTGTCTTGGCCCCCCGAGGGTATATAGTGATGGGAGTGTCCATCCATGTGTATCATACTGTATGCCCATATGTCTGTCTGTCTGTCCTTCCATTATGCTTTGGGATACCCTCCTCTTATTCACAACTCCTATATATCACTGAATATAATTTAATTAGACTTTCATAGAATCTTTATTACATAGTGTCATTGTGCACCTGCTATTTTACTTTTTGAATGGACACATATTTCAGGTTTCCCAAAGCAAAACATGGACACTGCCATTCTTTCTATATTATCTAGATGAATATCAATTATGTGTTAGTCAATCAACTACTCCTCTTTAGTTTGCTTGAGTTCAAGATAAAGTGAGAAAACAACCTCATTTAGTTGATATGTTAATTATTGTAGGATTTTCATAAAATGTGAGTTGATGTCCTATTTTCAGTATCAGTCTGTGATTGAGTCCCTTGAGGATAACTCCAGAAGAGGGTCAGATGCTGGAAAAAGCAACATTAAAGTTCTTGCCAAGGCACAGGTTATTGCTTACTTTCTATTTTTCAGATGTGAAAATGTTATCATTGTATTACTGATATGGAAAGTTATGAATGGACTGAAAAATAATAAGAATTCAAATTCTTTGTATTATAATTGATTCCTTTCTATTTTATTGTCAGTTGGTACAATACTGCACATGCTCTGAGTAAAAAGTTTAAGTTTCATTTCAAACTAATTTTGTTCTTTAGTAGTAAATATAAAGTAACATTTATTTTGAGAGTAAGGATAAAATCCACTGATTCGGTATTAAAATAAGTTGTTGTATTTTATGAAGATTTTTTTGTTAAATCTAACCAAGTTGTAACTTTATCTATGGAGTACTTTCACTTTCAAGTTTTTTTCTAATATATGACAGGAGGACATTGCTGATTTCTTATCACAGTATAATGCAAATATTCAGAGGACAAAACAGTTAAAGCCTTCTACAAATACTCAAGCTATGCTGTTTAGGAATTGTCTAAAGGTATGATTAAGTCTAATTTCCATTTCATTTATTTACTGTTTTTTTTTTTTTGAGTGCTAACTTAGGCTTATTTTAGCGGTGTGATAGTAGCCCATAAAATTTTATTTGTGTAGAAGCACTGAATGCAAGATAACTTAGATCATCTTTTGTTAAACAATACCTTTCTTTTGGATTTAACTTGAACTTTGGTGTAAATCAATGTTCAAATGCACAAACCTACTGAAAACTCATCTGGAAAATGAACTTCCTTTCTCTGCACTTGCCAGTATATGATTATGCATTAAACCCACTACGATGGTAATTCATAATTCGACCTATTTGAGAGTAAAATATTAAGTTTTTTCTTATCTAAGGTATTACTGGTTTTTGACATTGTATTGGCAAACCTTTGAACAAGCAAACCACCTAATGACCTCTTGTTTTGTAAATTTAAACTCATATTGATGCTAAAAAGTACTAGTTTTAATTAAAAGCATATATTTTTGTAGTACAGCTACAACACAAGGTTTGTTTCTTTTGATTTAGAGTAAGTGTGACTTTTACTTAGAAAATCAATATACATTCCGGAAATTAAAACATGAGTTGGAAAAATCAGCACCTGCAGAAACACTTCAAGTCATACAACAAACAGTAGACCTCAATGTAAGTGAGTAGTACACTGTACTCAAAAAAGTAAAAAAATATTTTATTTTCAAATCATCTTAGTTTTCAGTTACCTTTTATGAGAGAATGTGATGACAAAGATTTCCATTTACTGTATTGTAATTAAAATGTTTTATCTTTTAATCAGGCAATAACTAGTGCCCAGTTGTACGTTAGACAGCTGACGTTTGAAACCCTGCATCTCTGTGATAAATACAAAATCTGTGATTCTATTCCAGAACTATTGAGCTCACTGGATGAGGTACTTGAACTGTCTATCAATTTATTATTGATCAAACCTAATATCACTGATAATATGAGTAAAGGATCAGAGTTTGAATTAACCATGCGCCCAACCACCCAAGATGCATAAAGGGGTGATTAAAGTTGCTTGTATCAATGTGTAGTTGGAATTGTTAAACCATTATTAAATAAAAAATTTACATTGATAAATCTGTCAAAGATATACTAATTGTATCAGTAGCAAAGTTTAAAAATCCAAGTGGCAGAACCCATCAGTCTATATATAATCAGGGTTGAAGTTACATGTATGCTGACTAAGTCCATCAGACAAGTCTTAGGATTACAACTTGCCAGCCACTTGCAAGAAAAACTATGTAACAATTTATAGTTTTACCATATGTACACAAATAATTTTTGAAAAGAGGCAATACTTTTTCTTGGGTTAGTAAATCTTTGGCCGGCCTGACAAATTTTATTAACAGTCAGCTCTGTATAGCTAATTTTACAGCAAGTTTCAAACACTGTCAGGATACCCTATCGTGCACTCATTATCATAACACCTTTGATGCAGTGTCATTCTGCTACAATCTCAGCCTAAAATATTTGTGTTAAGTATGCATGCTTCAAATTTTCTTTTTATGCTATTAATTCCCTAAAACTTAGAATAGACTGATAAGAAGTTTTATTCAAACCTTGAATCACTAACATAACATTGAAATATATATAAAACTCAGAGTTCAATTCAAAGTTTTTGGCATCAGTAGAAGTAAAAATTTACCCATTAGTAACTGTAAAATCTTTGTTTTTGTCAGTAACTGTAAAATCTTTGGAGTTTTTGTTGTTGTAAAGAAAAATTATTCAGGTTTTCATACCATACATGTATCTTATCTGTATATAAATAAGTAAATCGGTTTCAAGTTTTTTTGTTTGTTTTTTTTTGAAATCATTCTACCACTAGATAGAGTCATTTTCTATAAATTTCATAATGTATCATGTGTATGTTGATGCCATATTCTACATCTTGATCAATTTTTTAAATTTTGGTGTAAGAATTATGCATAATTCATATAGTTACATGTATGTGACTTTTCTAGCCTTTAACCTTTAAATAAGTTGTTTACCATAACTACAAATAGTATGTTCTGCTCCATATTAAATAAAAGATGCAATTCTGAAATCTATATTTTATATGCACCCAGGCTCTGGAAGATGATGCTAAAAGGTGCTTGGCTTTAAATGGTGAAAGCTGGGAACAGCATGATTCCAGTATTAAAGAAATGATCAGACTACAGATGAAGGCAAGTTTTAATTTTTTACCCTTAGCAAATATTGCACATTAAATATGCAGTACCATTCTCATTTTTCAAAATACGTGTATGTAATTCCTAATAAAAATCAATGAAAGTTATCTCAAAAAATAAACTCCATTTTGAGTTACTTTTTTTTTTTAAATCAAAATTCTCCTCGGGGAAATCAGATTAAAAGAGGAATGGCCATTTTTTTTTCATCCAAAATGAATACTTAAAATAGGTCATACTTGAATTATTGTAATTATCTTAATTACCATAGATAGCAAATAATCACTTACTTCAATAAGCTGATTAAAATTATACACAATTAGATGATAGATTGCTTTCTCAAACTATTTTAACATCAAGTTTATTATCATTTGTTTGTTTGTTTCTTATATATCCTCTTTTTAAACAGGATCACCGCCTGATTAAACTGTCCCGTGCACAGTTATCCCTAGGAGCTAGTGATCATGTGATAACAATGCTAACAAAACGGACAAATGAAGTTTTACAGCAAGTACAAGTTCAACTGGAAATGAAGTCTACCGACAAAAGCTTTCAAGGATCAAAAACTTCTCTTAATAAAATTAGGGATAGTGTCAAAGAAGCAAAATTAGTGACAGTATAAGTTTTCTTTATTTACTTAGAGAGAGGAGAATACTTGGGAAAGTGCAATCAAATGACTTAACAAGAGGCCTAAGGACCTCAGTGTTCACTAAAGAGATGCATTTGTCTTCCTGATAACTATGTAACTAAAAAAAAACAATTACTGATGCCCCAAAGTTCATGCAAATGAATTTCAAATTTTTAATCTACAGTAGGTTTACTGTTAACAAGCTTACAGTTCCCAGCCTTATTAATACATATATATATATATATATATATATATATATATATATATATATATATATATATATATATATATATATATACATCTGTTCAACATTTTGACCTACATTGATCATTTATGACTAAACAATGAATTTATGGTCAAGTGAAGAACCTGTTTATAGACTTAAACTTTCCTTGCTCAAATAATGTTATATTAGGGAATGCATTTGCAAATTAATGTAAATATTTGCAAATCACGTCACCTTATGCAGAGCACATACATGTATATTTACATTTCCAAATATTTTTTCTTAAGATTCTTTGCAAATTCAAATACTGTTCATTTTCTCATGAACTACCATGGATGAGCATGAATATCTCCATTGTTACGTCATAATAACGAACTTGATGACAAAACTATAGTGCAAACTGTTTTGCTTTAAAAATGACAGTTGAATGGTGTAATTTGTGGCAACTCTTCAGAAAAATAATGTAAATATAAGAAATGAATTTAATTTTTGAAAATTCATGAGGTACATGAACTACAACACTTCACGCCGGCATATTTATGAAGCGCTAACGCACATTATGAAATATGCTGGCTTGAAGCATCGTACTTCATGTCCTCATGAATCTTCAAAAATTAAATTCATTTCTTAAATACATCTCACATACTGTCATAGTGTCTATATACAAGTTCAGTGATGAACTTAATTTTCTTTTGTTTTTCACTCAAAAATTGCATAAGTACTTATATCTGACCACCACCTGTGGCATGTGGTTTAATTTTGCTATTACGCATGCATCAACATTTAATTCAAATTAGCTTCACTTAGTGTTCGCACGGGGTTAATTCAAATTAGCTTCACTAAGGGTTCACACGGAGATAATGTGAAGCAATTTGATGTGCAGTAAATTTTTTTGCATTTAATTCTCCATGTGAAAGCAGTTAAGATTCAATGCACAGGAACTTGAGTTGTTTAATTCAAATTAAACTCCCCATGATAACAGGGCATAAACAAACTTGATTTAATTTACATGGGGATGCTTGTACATTAAATTAACAAATTGTGCCCCTATTATCTTTAAGAACAATATTAAAAAAAAATTAAAAACATTTTTTTTTTGGTGCAAAATTTGAGCCCGTATTATTGTCCCACTCAATTACTGATGCCATAATTAGAAGATGTATCTAAGCATTATGTTGAAATTTTCCTATAAATTTTGTCTCTCCTTCCCTGTGGTTCAAGGAAGACAATTATGACTGATCTTACCCTATTTTCATTGATTATCTACAACTGGGATGGTGCATGGTATTTTAGATATATCAATCTGGATTTCCTTTACCAACAAATCATCCCATGTTTAATTGAAATTTAGTAATTGGTGATTGAGAAATGTTAAAAAATTTGTAAAACTGATAGACCATTTGATAGACACTTGAACAATATGCAGACTTTGTCAAATAAAAACTTTAGCTGAGGAGCCTCAAGGAATCAGAATGAGAAGTACAAATGTATGTATTTTGATTTGCAGAGAAAACTTTTGTATATTTATATGATTGTTATGTTGTTATGTAATGGTCTCTCTGATACTAATCGAACAGAGTGCAAATTCATGCTTATTCTTTTGAGAAATAGGTTTCATCTGGTAATAAAATGTTATGATCTAAAACCTCATTGATATTGAATTCCAAATATTGTGTGGATTCAAGTTCAGTTAAATCAATAATCCCTTTCGGTAAGTTGGTGCCACAATATGAGGGTAATGCAAAAGATGAAGATTACAAACAAGGATCAATCTCCTAAATAGTCATAAATCCAGGAAACAAAATGCATTGTGAAAGGGCAAAAACATGGACCGGTGTCGCATGGTGAATCAGGGAAGCATTGTGGCAATAGGTTTCTTGTAAAAATTACTGTCAATGTTCAAAGGACAGGCTACAGTAACTGCTAAATTTGGTCCAATATTATTTTGACAAAAAAATCCAGAGTTAAAACCCATAGTTTGTGATTGAAACCCTTACTTGATGCTTGTTTCAAAGCGCATGCAATGTCTATTAATCAAGTATGTTGTCGAAACAGTAGGCTAAGATACATCAAATGAAGATCTATGATAAGCTGACTTGCCCTCTGCACTTTCGAAAATGAAAAGAGGTATCTAAAATTTGCTGAAAACTTATCAGAATGAAAGATATTCAGAAAAATATTTTATCAAACTGTTGTGGCCTTTGTGTATGCTTCGAAGAAAACTTCTGAAACAAAATATCTTTGAAATTTGAAAAGTATGTGAACAAAAATAGAAAAAATAAATAATTTGTGAATTTTCTGTGACTAGTTTTAGATGTTTAAAATTTGTTTTATGTTTGTACTCTCATGCCTCATGTGAGGTCTTGAGTGAAATAAGTTTCAAAAATTTCAAACTTTCAAATGAAATATGGAGATAACGAACAGTATTCAAGCTCATTGTCCATTTAATCAATATAAATCTGGAGCAGGGATGGGGTAATTGTAATCAGTAATTGTAATCAGCTGTAATCGATTACAGTTTGTAATCAGTAATTATTCATTTAATCGTAATTTAATCGATTACTCTGAAAAAAGTATTGTAATCACGATTACTTTTTGATTACTGTATGATTACAATGACTAAAAAGAAGTTCATACAATAATGGTATTTCAAGATATTCAGTGAGTATTTTATCCTTGTTTCATCAACTTGTTATAGATAATACCTTGCCTCATTTATAAAATTGATCGTTCATGGAGTATACTCTTGCATATAGAATCAATTGGGAGTGATAAACCCCATATGCAGGTGATTAGGATATATTGCTACATAAGTAATGGAAGTTGACGATAGAAAAGTTGAAGTCATCATGTTTATCTTAGTTTTGTTGTTAGGTTACCATAAACGTCATTTTCTAGCAAAATATCCAAATATGAAACAGATGTGTCAGACTCTGTGATTTCTATTATTACAAGTTCACTGGGATATATCGAATCGACATGTGAATGGAAGTAAGCATTGTTAATTGATAATATGTCGTTGATTTATCTAAATGTCGAGTTGAAGGCCACAGCAAGCGTTTTCGTCTTCTCGTGTATAAGTTTTTGAATAAATTCTTCTTCATATGAATACAAAAATAGGTCTGCTAATAACGGGACTAAAAATTGGTACCCATGGGAATTCCAACAGATTGTTGGAAGAACCGATCTCAAAAAACTACATAGATATTGTCAATCAGAAAATCAAGTATCTTTTTAATATTAACTTCAGATTACTTGTGTATGAATGTTTTTAACAAAATAATATTGCAAATGACCAATGATAAGGTAAGTATATTTACGAATTTCATTTTTATTGAAAAAGCACCTGTCTATGATGTAAAAAAGCCTAAGCTTTAATTTATCGTGGGAAATGGTTGTATAAGTTGTTGCAAAGTTTTGATGTTATTGTTTTTGGAAAAAAAATTGTGATTTAAAATTTTCTAAAATTTCCTTGGAGCTTTGGAGTATCGTATCCACATCTGATTTACACAACTTCTAGAAAATACTGTTGTACAGCACTCCTGAAGTTTCTCCTTCACTGCTGCATATATTTTAGTGAGGAGTAAAGAAAGAAACCTGATAGAACATCACTGGAACCCGCTTTGTATCTTTTTAAGGATTTTTATGGAGTTTTAGAATCTAGTAAAGGTATGGTAATTCAAATTCATTTTTGATTGTTGGCAATATTAAAAAATATTTAGAACTGACACATAGTTTTAAGGAATTTCCTCCTTAGAAAGGGACCTATGAGTAAAAGTTGAATTACCGCTTGTAGAAAAGAAACTTTACATTGCTTCAATATTTTGTATGAACTGTTGCTTTTATAACAAAACTGGGAATATAAAGATTGTACATATGACATATATGTTTAATATCCCTGAGGATTATCCGAGGGACACTGATTGAACTCTTAGAGTCGGCATCCCTTATAGACTCAAAAGAGAGACGCCAAGCAGAGATACATTTTCGGTGGTTACAATGAATTAAGGAGATAACGAACAGTATTCAAGCTCATAGTCCATTTAAACAATACAAATCGGGTGCAGAGCAAACACGGACCTCCAAAAAATCAGAGGCGGGATCAGATGCCCTGTAGAAGTAAGCAAAGGAATTGTTTCGAAAAAAGCTTCATCATGTCCAACCTCACCCTAAGGATAACATGTCTATTAATCGTGCGATTTTATCCGTTTCATGCGCTTCATACATTGATTGGAAGAGCCTTGAAAGGGGACGACTTTCATCAACGTGTAACAGAAGTGGGGGAAAATGCGACGGACCAGACCGGAATTCGAGCTCGGGTCCCTCTGAATCTCACGTCAGGTGCTGTACAAACTGAACTATCTGGCCAATAGGGATCGAACTCATTTGACCGCCACATTCCTCCCTCCTTAAAAGTCTTTGCCCTCGAAGACACCAACCCAGGCTCTTCTCTGGTAGGTATTTCAGCAAGGTTTTCACGCATGGCACGGCTCGAATTTTAACAGGAGTGGAGAAAAATGCAATGGACCGGACCGGGATTCGAACCCTGATCTTCAGTCAGGTGCTCTACCAACGGAGTTATCTGTCCACCGGTGATCGGACCTGTTTCACTACCACATTCCTCCTTGAAGGTTTTGGACTGCGAAGATACCAACCCACATTCCTCCCTGGCAGGTCTTTCATCTGTCATCTCCAGGGCATGACAAGGCACAAAATGTAACAGAAAGGAGAAAAATGCAACGGATCAGACCAGGATTCGAACCCGGCTCCCCCTTGAATCTCCAGTGGGGTGCTCTACCAATTGATTGTCTGGCCACCGGCGATCGAACCTGTCTGACAGCCACAAACGTATTACCAACGAATTACGTCCCAAAGTCCATGAACGCTATCCGGTAAATGTGACTGAACCCTTAGAGATCATGAATATTTAATTTGGAAGCGGTTGGACTTTGACATTTGACAATTCCATTTATATATTGA